CGTGAAACGTTAAATAAATAAAAAAAAAAAAGAAAAAAAAGAAAACGAATTAGAAAAGAATCAAGAGAAGAGAGAGAGAGAGAGAGAGAGACGTGTTTGTAACTGAAAATTTGACACTTTTTTTCTACTTTGAACGACACTTTTGGGAAGCGGACATCTGGAGGATTATAAGTTTGTCGAGATGTTCCATTTACCATCACGCTTATGATCGACATCACCGGGACGTTTCTTGTGAACCGGGGCGGGCCCTGTAGGAGCGATACCCTGCTTAAGAGCTCCCATGCTGAGAGACTTTCTAGGTGGTCCTGTCGTACCTGCAGGGAGTCCGGCAGCCATCACTCCTGGCGCCACTGTCTCGCCATTCGTCAGTTGGGGTCTTCTAGGCCAGGCAAACTGCAACCGATACTCGGTGCTGATCCGTGAGATCGCTTTGCTCAATTGACTCGGTGGTAAACCCGACTGCGTTGTAACTTCCTGCAATAATGATATTACTTCAGTGGGATTATCAGCGTTTTCTCTTCGAGTATTGCGTTTATAAAAGAAGATACGCGGGAAGAAAACTCGATGATGACAAAGACTTGTTGACAAAGAACTTGAACAAATTGTCCTGCAGGCTGCACGTATACAGGAAAAATCTTTGAACGATAAATTGTTTTCTTCCAGTTTCATTTTTCGTCCCTTGTTCATTCTTTCTTCTTTTTCATTATCATTGATCGATAATAAGTGAAAGAATTTCCGAATTTAAGATTCCCGGATTAGGATGTAACGTTTATTGCCAATTATCGTTCCCATAATCGATATGTAATAAAATAAAAAAAGATGGAAAAAATAATAATTCGAGCACGTACTCGAACTTTATCAGCTACAACGTTGGAATCGACGGCATCGATACCACCCCCATCGGCTGCCGTGATGAATTCGTGCGTTTTGTACGCAAGCTCCGGGCATTTCTTTCGCCGTGGCAATGGCGGTTCCAAAGTGGGTCCTGAAACGAATCATCGTGATCCATTGAGATTTTCCATTTTTGATTTTTTCGTGATCTTCGAACACGAGAAGCAGCCGACTACACGGTCCACGCGCTCGACCGCTTTTCCTTAAAGGAAGATAGAAAGCGATTTTTCGATTTCCATCGGGAATTCGAAACGAATTGATTTTACAAGTTTGTTTTTTTTTTTTTTTTAGTTGAGTTGTTCTTTACTCCCTATGCGACAATCTCGCATAGTTAAAGGAACTTTTGAGAGAAAAAGAGAGAGACTTCGGGCTTCGTTCAAAGACGGAAATCGATTTCCTGATAATGAAGGTAATTAAGCAGCGGTCGAGAGCGTGCACCGTGTCACGAGAAACGAATTTACGAATCGAGGCGATCATCTCAAGGCAAAAAATACGAAGGATAAGCGGGAAGCTGCCACATTTCACGCATAAGAAAGAGAGGGAAAAGCATTTGTCTATAAGATTATAGTGAATCGGCGAGGATCGAGGATAGTAGCGTGGTAAAAAACAGTGAGTCGAGAGGAGAGTTAGGCTAGCAGAGTGATGCGGTGCATTTTTATGGTCGACCAGAGACTTCTGCTCTTAATCCAAGTATTGTCCTGACCGCTCGACCTTGCGGATCGATCCATCCCTCGGCCTCGATCGTCACTGCTAGCAAAACAAAACAAACAAACATTTTTGTTGCACACCGTTGATAATATACATCATCCTCCTCCTCCGCCTCTCCTCGTCGCTTCGTTACAAACATTTTGAAATGAAATTGATCTCAGCGACGCGTTCATCTCGTGATCGAGATTTTCACTATAATTTTCAGCTCAAGAGGTAGGAAAGAAGAAATGGAAGTAAAGTTTCTCTCTTCCTTCCTCTCTGTATTATACAACGAAATACCAACAACGCGTAACAAGATCCGCTTCTCTCATCAATTACCGCACACGGTAATTAGCTCTCTAAACAGCATATTTTCCTATTACCCGCTTGACAAAGCATTAGCTGGATGAAGTACTGTTCATTCCTCTCTCTCTCTGTCTCTGTCTCTCTCTCTCTCTCTCTCTCTCTCTCTCTCTCTCTCTCTA